TTTTTGTTTTTCATAAATAAGAGAAAGTTCTATCCTTACTGGTCCTAAATCTGAATAACTATGTCTAATTTTTTTAAACCTTAATTATGTTAGACCTATCAATATGTACTAGAAGAAAGAGGAGAAAAAAAGTCGCTACACTAGTACCAGGACAGCACGCTTACAAGATAGCCATTTTATACATTATTAACATACAATGATCAACGGAGCGTCTTCTGTGAGGTGATGGGGGATGCAGAGAAAAGGAAGGGAAGTACAGTACATCACCGACACGGACAAAACAGGAATCAAAGTCCCTAGTCTAAACACTGAATCTCTGGGAATTCACTATTTTCTCTTTTTTCTTTCTTTTTTTTTTTTAAATTTTAAATAAAACTTCTGTTTTGTTGTTTTATGACTTGAACAAGTTTTGATACTTTAAAAGCGCTCAGCATTTTACTTAATCTGGTTGTTTGGGGGGAAAAGAAAAGAAACAAAGGGAAAAAAATCACAGAAAGAACCTCACCAAACAACCTAACATTGTCTTAGAAAAACAAAGACCATGATTTTTTTTAATTAAAAAAAAAAATGTTGCTGTTTCATCAGAATCGAAAAAGGCTTTTTTTCTTTCTTTCCGAGTTAGCATTTTGAAGTCTTTAGTTTGAAGATGCTTTTGCCCTACCATGTCTGTGAATGTCTACATTAGTCTACTTTGTTAGTAAAATTTATAAAAATAGGAGTGCAGCAGCTCTTTATAATAAATGTCGCATTCAGTGTCTCATACTGGCTGTGCCTTAAGTACCAAATTTATAAACGTAACAATTTAAAAAATATTAATAAAACGTCAATATCACATTTTAAAAAAGAAAAATATATATCCACACTACAATATGTTTTAATGCCATCTATTGAGTTGTACTTCTATAGTTGCTGTTGCCGACCTATTACCAATATTTAAAAAAAAGTTAAATTAAAAAATATCCTTCATCATAAGTATCTTTCCCCAACTGAGGACCATATATTATAACAGCCAAATGTTCAACATGTGCAAAGAGGAAGCTGTCAGGTTTTCCCACCAGTCACAGTGCAGTGATGTTTATACTTTTTATTTTTAAAATTCTGTTTACATCTACAATAAATTAAAAAAAAAAAGTTCTTCCATAGCCTCTCTGGTGATACTTGCAGCACTGAGGTATTAAAAAAAATATATAAACCAAAAGGTTGCCTTCCTAATTTGTAAATAGAAAGTGAATGGAGAAAGGTTACATTAATGCAGGCTTATCCACTCCTGGCCCATAGGCCCCCAGATCTGGGAGCGGGGTGGGGGGCAGGGGGAGAAGAGAGGCAAAGTGTCCTAGGGACCTTTGGAGGTGCTGAAATGATTGGACAATAGAAAATGATCAAATATTTAAAAATTAAGACTGAAAAAGAATGTCCCCCCCACCCCGCCCCCACCCAAGCCAAACAGGTGTGCTTTGAAACTTTAAATATGTTAAATATTAAAATTGTAGCTTTGTTTCTAAAAAACGTCTTGGGAAAAGCAGTTTTTCATATTTTAAATAAAAATCTAACTAGACGGTAACATTTGAAGCTGTGCACAGACGAGAGGTTAATAGGCTGGTACGACACTAATACAGTTCTTAGGTCTATCACACAGACAAAGGAGCTAAACAGTGCTCTAACTTGTCCTGGGGTGGTCCTGGCAGCTGGGCGTTCTTCATCTCAGTCACTGACTTGGCCAACACTCCCTTCCCGCCTCCTTCCACAGAGCATCAAACTGCCTGGGACCGACTCCCTCACAAAAATATTTTTGATTCTCTCTTTCTTAATAGTTTCTATGTAGTTAATGGAATTGTATTTACAACATTTCTTTTTTAGAATTCACAATTTCAAAAAACCTTATAATATCACCTCTTTCAACAGAAAAAAAGCACTTATAGAAAAGGAGGACACCCAAAACACTGTCGTCCTTACCTTATTGCCGAAAATAGATATACTCAGATTAACAAAGAGACATCACAAAAAGAACTGCTAGAGAGTCTGTTAATTAGCTCACTACATGTCACTTCTTCTACAACGCAAAATAGGAAACTCATGCCCACCTCCCGCCCCGCACTTTACAACTTTGCTTCAGTGTGTGCTAAAGTTCCACCTGAAAATTCACACAGTCTCAGAATTGGTACCAAAATATGGAGAGTAATATTACCATCTCAGCATCCTTTAAAAGTGAGAACAGAACCAAAACAAGCAAAATAATTTTTTTAAGAAAAAAAATAACTCCTTAATATAACAATTATACTATGGTTAGCTTTGAACTAGATATTAAAGCTATGTGACTACTGGACTAAGTCAAAATCACTACCAAATGTGATTCAAAGAGATTTAAAAGGAGAATGGGAAGAGAGGAAGGGAGAGGGAGACCACCAAGAAAAACAAAACAAAACAAAACCAAAATCATGGGTTATATACACATTTAAAAGCTGTTGGCTTATATCACAGCAGATTCATGAGATGATGAGATGTAGTCAACCCTCGATCCGAAGTGAACCATCTCTGGTTGGGATGGGGAGTGAGGCTGGTGGGGGTCCAGGTCTGCGGACATCACCTAAACAAAGGGCCACTCAGAAACTTCGCCCAGTCTTGCCTGGACATCCAGGTATGCTCTGCAGGGCGGGGAAGGCCAGGATGTCCAGAAGAGAACAGAAAGTCGAGGGGAGGAGGGAGGAGAAAGAAGTGTCAGACAAGTATGTGATTTACTCCACTGTTTCAACTAGAGTTTCAAAGAAGGACTTCACTGGACTACTGGATACGTGTGAAAATAGCCTGGCTAAAAGCTTGCTGAGATCACAGCTTGGGGAACCTGACATCTAAACCATGCCTGACACGGGGGAGAGGAGAAGGCTACAGCTCATCTTGCTGATTGGATGCAGTACCGTAGGACTGTGGAGGTTAACAGTGGGACGTGTGGTCACAGGGATTGCAGCCAGACGGGCAAACTGCACGTTGACCAGAGATACCTTTTTTCTGTTTGATCTTCTGTTTTCAAAGCTAAATTTTTTTGAAAAAAAAAAAAAAAACCCACAAACTTTTGCCTTTATTAGATACCCATCAATACCTATTAAATGCAAACTTACACTAAAAGATCATATATATACCAAAAACTAAAGGTCAAGACACTTAAAACATTAAAAACAAATAACCAGCTCTGGTTACAGGAAACAAAACAAGCCCAGGATTCACAGATTTGTTCATTGAGTCTCCCTGAATTGATGTGGGGCAGAGGGGAGGCCTGGGCTCCTCTTTTGTGGATGGCTCTGAATGTCAGAGGGTCACCTGTGTTGGGGACAATGGGTGTGTTTGACCAGTCCTTCCTAACTGTTGCGGTGCAGCCAGGTGACTCTATTAGCTCACTTAATCCATTTTGGAAGGGAGTGAGTTGCTATCACACTCTTGGCTACTTCGTCCTCTGGAAATGGAGTCCTGGACTTAGATGAGCAAGGGCGGGCAGGCAGCAGCCTCCCCCATCCCATTCCACCCTGCCCCACCCCTATAGAAAGGCTTTAGTGGCCTTGGGAGTGCATGGAGCTGTGGGCAAGAAGCCCTACACCATTCCTTCTCTTCCAGGGGAGGTAGGGAGGAGCACCCGCAGCCCCAGCGTCTGGCCTTTCAAGGGTCTGCTGTGCCTGGTAGTTGTTTGATCCCCTCTTCATCGGACTCCACAAAGGGCTGGAGCCATCTTCAGTCTCCAGAGTTCTTGGTTATATCAGCTGTCCCTACTCTCAGAGAAACTTGACTTCCTCTGGGCCCCCAAACCCAGCTTAATTAGTAGCGAGTAGCTCTCCTTCAAACTGTTAGTGGCCTCTGGCTCTGGCCAGCGATGGCTGGGTCAGTGCTCAAGGGGAAGTGTAGGCGAGGGGCGGGGGAATTCACACACATGGTTTACTTGGTTAACAGAGGCAGTTGCGTTAGTTGAGGTGATCCCTTAGCAGCAACATTAGAGAAATCCAAGAGATTGATGGAGCTCAACTCAACTCAGTTCTCCAACTGGTCCGACTCAGGAGCCAGGAGCAATCCGTCTCTACGAGACGGGCATCCAATTAAGTGCAAGCCCAAAGTGGCCAGTTCATCTCCAGCCTGGCTTCTCCTGCATGCCAACTCTAAGAGTGAAAGGCTCTCGTGCCCCGGTGGGATTTTCTGAGTGGGATCCATTCCCTGGCCTCGGCTGTCACCCTCGCTTTTACAGAGACAGACCCATGTTCCAACCTCACAAACCAATGTGCTGACACAGTACACATCCAGTGCTTTCGCAAGGCAAGCCCTCTCCCATGCTGGTGTTCTTTCCAAGGACAGAGCCTCATTCCCAAAAAAGTGTGTGGCAAGGGGCTTCCTCACTGCCCCAACCTCCCTCTCCTCTGTTCCATCCCCTCCATATCCCCATCAAAGTGATTTTAAAAATGTTTAATTAACTTAAGCTCAGTTTAAAAGGTGAGGAAACTGGCAGGGATCCAAATCCACGTTATGCAGGTGATGTTGTTCATTTAATTTGCTTTTCGGGCAGTAATCTGGATAATTATTCGGTAGCTACTGGCCAAAATGTTTTCTTTTCACTAAAAGATGGAGTCTGGCTATTTGACTGCATAAACCCCATTGGCTGGGCCCCAGCAAGCCCGGGGGAGCTCTCGACCCACAGGGCCAGCTCAAAGGACCTCCAGGAGCGGGCGGTCCTAGCCTCCATCACTGCTTCCAGGCCTAGCAGAAGCCCAATGCTTCCCTGCCTCCATCCCCCTGGGACGGGTGCAGCACAAGGTCTCCTTCCAGTTTCCCACACTCTTGATTGTATTTCAAGACAGAGGAAGATGAAGGGTGGGGAAGATACAGAAAAAGAATCCAAAGATCCAAATCAAGGAAAAAAAAGAGAGTCAAAAAGATGGGGGTCATGATTAAAAGCTGGAGGAAGGGATGAGAGATTAAAAGACTGGATTTGTTTTTGCCCCCGCCCTCCTGAAAAGGGATCCAGAAAGAGGAGAGAGAGATGTGGATGTGATGAGACAGGGCACGCGCGTGCATGTATGACCCGTGGACATACATGTACGGACACACCGGCAGGGCAGAGACACATGGCAGAGACGGTAATACCTCAGAGATGGCAACGGAAGCACCTGCTCAATGGTATCCATTTGTAAAGGCCGTTGCAATCAAAGGTCCCTAAAATTGCACAATTGTTAAGGTCATCAGTGCGCTATACATGGGAACAGATTGTCATATTCTGAGAAAGGAAATTATCTCTAGGACTAGTTCTGTGGTTGCCAGCATGAATATGTAATTCTGAGACACCGTGCCATGAGGGGTGAGGATGACATCCTCCCCAGCTCCAATCCCCTAGTCCCCACTCCCCCGCCCCTACCAAGCCTGTCTGCCTACCTAGGGGAACACCAAAAGCCAGATTCAGAGGCGTGGGTGGATGGTGAGGAAAAAATCCATTTGGGGTGGATTTGTGCCCCAAATGATGGGCACGGTTGCCCTGAACCCCAGAGTGCAAAGATAGGTCTCTGTCCGCAGTCCCACTTGACTCTAGCTGGGGAGAAGAAATCCCAGTGCAGACAAACTGGGATGCTTTCTGGTTATTTCAGAAAAACATCACAGGCCAAAGGTCAAAAGCCCCTGGTTTTCAAGAACACATCGAGTCTGCGTTTCTGGATGCTGAATATGGAAATGAGTTGTGCTCTAAGTGGTGATAGATGGTCCCCTAAATTGAGCAGCTGTCAGGTGAATAATAATATTCTGGATTTGGTACCACAGTTGATCAGAGGGGATTAGATTCATCAAACTACTGACGTAAGTGATACTGGCTTAGAGTGGAACTGAACAAGGACCCAGACGGCACAGATCAGGGCTGGCAGACGTCTCTCTCTGTGTGTGTGTGTGTGTGTGTGTGTGTGTGTGTGTGTGTGTGTGTGTGGTGTGTGGCTCACAATGCCAGGGGGCATGAATGAGGCCACCTTCGTGCCCTGGACTGTCTGCACGTGATTTGTTCTCTGCAGCATGGCACTGAAGGCAGGGCTTGCCAACTGTTGCCCAGAAACAGAGTGTGACAGGAACATGGCCTGGGACTGCAGACGCACCCATCTTAGCTCAAAACCAAGCTGCCTCCAAAATGCCGAGGTTGGCTAGGGCAAAGGTTGGCCAATTTTCTGTTTCCAAAATGGAAGGGACAGCGAGCAAGTGGGCTCAGGCACATTCATGCTCACACACACCGGGAGGGAGAGGAACAATACAATCTGAAAACAGCATGCAAATCTGTTAAGCAAATTTCCATTGCCTGGATTAGTCAGATTATAGAACCACAGAGCATTACAAATATCAAATGCACCTGGCCTTCAAGGGGTGGGGGCTGCAGCTAAAGAATGCACATGGGAACTTACTTGGAACCTGGAAACTGTAAGAAACATTAGCAAAGGAAATTGCCTGGGAGAGGGCGTGGACCCCCACACCACCTCCCAGGCTCCAGCGCTGCCACTGGACCTTCGACCAGGGGCTCTACCGACTAAGGCTGCTACTCTGTGGGGGAGCTGGGACACTTCCCAGCTCTCAGGTCCCAGCCCATATGACAGTGTCCAGAAAGTGGGGATCAAGGAAGGTGGCCGCTACTGAGGCCCTATTACGTGCCAGCACGTGACGTTATGTTGAATAATCCTCCCACAATCTTTTGAGGAAAGCATACTGCTTCTGGGTTTGCAGCCAGGGAAGGGAGATTCAGATGGGTTATCAAAGTGGCTCAAGGCTGCACAGTGTGAAGGTGACGGAGTGGTGATCTGAACCCAACCTGCCCTCGCTCCTTCTGCTCCATCACATAGCCACACAAGAGGCACTCGGGACATGTCTAAGATGACGGAGGCTTCAGCCCTCGGGAGCTTGGTGTAATGCTGATGGGGACCCTCTGTCCTCTCCTCTGCCCCCAATTCTGGGCTTTCCTGGCATACCCACAGGCCACGGGGAGCTGGTCAGGAAGGAGGAGGCAGGAGGGCAGGGGAAGGAAGGTACTTACAGCTATGCCGTGGCCAAAGCCCGAGCCCGGCTGTGGGCTGGCCGCACTTATGTAATTCCCCACTCCGGAGTCCTGGCTGGCAGGGCCGTAGAGATCGGCGACAGGTCCTGGGCTGTTGGCCCCCGGGAAGCCTCCGGGCCGCGCCGGGTTGGAGCCTGCCGGGGAAGCGGGCGCGCCAAAATTCGGTTGAGCACTGTAGCTATTCAGGACTGGTGTGCAGAGAATAGAGCTGGGTATGAGGCCAGAAGCCAGGCATGCACCGGTCATTACAAGCCAAACACTTCAGAAAAAACAGCTGAGGCCCAACTTCTAACACTCAACCAAGGCCATGCGAAAACATCAGCAGGGACTCAAGAATACTCAGCCCAGGCTACTACTAAGAAGCTTGGAGCTCCAAAAATAGAGAGAATAAAAAAACGATCATTCAACACACTACGGCAACCAACCGGAGGTGCTTCACTGCCCACCAAATTATCACAATAGAAATAGAGATATATATGGAAGAGAGAGAGAGAGAGAGAGAGAGAGAGAGAGAGAGAGTTTTTTTTTTTTCACATCTGAATTGATGCTCATGCAGTCTTCTAGATCTGGGCACGTTGAGACAGCATTCACATCCCATGCAAACTACAAAGGAACTAGGTTTAGACTACACATTGTGTTAATATTGATATTATAACGTGACAGGAAGCAAAGCAATTTGTGTCCAGGAAAAAAAAAATCTTTGCAGAGGGGATTTTTGATCTTTTTTTTGTGTGTGTGTGTTTCACTTTTGCTTTTTTGTTTTTGGATCCATTAAATGACAAATTTGTTTTGTTTTTTAAAAAAAGACAAAAAAGATCTCCATTCTCCATCCCACCCCCACCACTCCCCCCTCCCCACTGGCTACTCCCTCCCTTCCCGCCCCTCCCATCCATATCCCTGCATGAAAGTCATCAATACTGAACGTGGTCGGAGGATGGGATATGTCATGGAGAGTTTGGGCATCTTGACATAACAGTAATGATGGCGGCAGAGGGTTTCCTTTTGGGGTGGAGAGAAGGGGATGGAGGGAGGGATGGGTGGGAATGGTAAACCTGGAGGCTGGGGCCAGAGCTGGGGTGGAAGCCAATGGTTCTACAGGACACCCACACACTCACCTCCTGCAGGAGAAGGAAAGGGGGGACTTAAACTTTTTTCCTTTTGTTTAAAAAAAAAAAGACAAAGAAGTATGAGTGTAAAACATACCGACTGAACCAATTCATAGCTAAACCACAGCTGACCAAAATGCCTGCTTTCCCTTAGTTACCCTGCAATACCAACTCCAGACCGGGATCAGCAAGCTCAGGATATACCTTTGCTACGAAGAGAGGGGACTTGACATGCACAAATCCAGAGAGTGGTGGAGTCACAGATCAGGGGGCAGTGGAAGGTGGCACTGCCTCGGCGCACGCCCCCCGCCCCCCGGCGCACGCCCCCCGCCCCCCGCCCCAGTCCCATCATTCTGACCATAATGAGGGCCGTGGCCTGTCAACCAGGTTAACCAGGTGAATTTTGTCTGAGTTGTATTTCCCCTGAATAGTTTAAACTTTATTTTATTTTCCAAAATGGAAAATATATATATATATTTTATTGTGAAAGAAGTTCTTATTGATTTTGAAGCCTCAAGGTGAGTCTGGGTTGGCTACTTTTGGGCTACGGCTAACACGTCTTAAAGAACAGACATTCTGAGCTGTCACACTTTCACATCTTCAGCTCCAAAGGGCGGCTCCTTGCAACGATCACTTCTCCCTTCTGCCTTCCTTGACCTCTCCCCCTGTGCCCTGTGACAAGCTTCCTTCAATGGCAGAGGCAACGAATATCCATGCAGGTGGGGTCACCCCTGGCTTTGACCCCTGCCTTGCCCTTAGTTTGAGGCCCTCAGTTCTGGTGGGCCTGGAAGAGCCAGAAGTGGATGAATTTCCACCTGCTTGTCACAGAGATGGGAAGAGACTGACAGGCACCCGAGGCAGACTGGCAGGAGATTGAGACAGAGATACAAAGAAACACAGGAGACCAGATCAAGTTGGGCCTGGCTCCTGACTCAGCAGAGAAAACCAAACAGGCTCCCTCTGGATGCCCTTGGGGCGGGAAGCCCGAAGGTGAGCCCCTTTGAAGCTGTAGCTGAGAAATGAATAAACTGGCCAATGGAAAGAGCAGGTTAAAGAGAAAAAGAAAAAAATAAAATAAATTACAGAGGCTTACAGCAAGTGAATGGCTGATTTGGGAAAGCACTGGCAGACAAAAGAGACTGAGATTTTTGAATATGGAAGATTCAACTTGCAGATAACATTTGGCCCTCTCCCTCATGGAGCCAAATATCAAGCCGAGATATTCAAAAGGTGCTATTATCTTAGTCTAACACACTCTTTTTTTCTGAGCTCAGGAAAACAGAAGAAGCTTGGACAGCGGACTCCTGGTTTTGTCCAGGCAGCTGAAATCCCTCCCTATACAAATGAACTGATTAGCCTGGTCCATCTGAGGGTAACAGGATGGGGTGAGCACGAGGCGGCACAGTGGAAGATGGAAGGAAAGATTTCTTGTCTGGCCGGATGTGAACCCAGGAAGATGATTGGCGGCCACCTCACTAGTGAGTGGGGAGAAACAGGTTTAGGGTTAGGTTTCTTCCAGCAGGAAAGCCTCCTAGACACTAATCTCGCCAGCAGAAGCAGCCTTGGAGACAGGATGTCACGTGCCCACGGAAGGGTGCTGTCCAGAAATGCCCCCTTCCGTAGGCTTAGAAGACAAGAGGGTGTTCGTAGTCTGCCTGTCCTTGGCAACTTCTCCCATTCCCTTGTGCAGGGAGGCCTGTGGCTTTTGAGTCGGCCTGTAGGGAATTTCACAATAAGCAGCTCATCTTAGGTCTATATCACCCCTCCTTGCTCAGTCATCCTCCATCAAACGACACTAAAATCACCGTGGAGAAGACACTGTATTAGAATGCAGCTTTCAAATCCCAAGTCCCGTTTTATTATGTACTTGCTCATCACGATGCCCCAGCCGTAGCTCAAAGTCACCTTGCGGATATCCCCCAGCTGGGGGTGGAAGACAGGGCTGCTGGGTTCCCGCTAGAGGGCGCAGCCAGCAGGCAATAAGCACCCAGTTCTGGGCTGGTCCCCTTTCTCTAGCTAGGCTTCTGGGCAGTGGAACCTGCACCCTTGAGGGCTGGGCTCATGGAAGAGAGGAGCCTCTATTTTCCACCGTCAACACTTCTGTCTCTCTCTGTGAGCAGAAGACCCAGGCTCCAGAAAGCATGTTAAAGTCCCCGAACAAGCCATCTGGTAACCCATGCATCTTTGAGAAGCCTCATAAAAAGCAACGGCTCTCGCTGCTTAGGAGAGAATGGGGACTGCCACTTGGCACATAAACTCGTCAGGAGCTGTTCCTGCCGTCTGACGGTGGGAAGGCACTAGGGACAAAGCAATTTCCTTCTTTCGCCAAGTCAGAGTAACTCCACATACTGAACGCTGGCTGGCTACACAGGAAAGGGGGTCATTTGAGAACCCCGTCTCCCTCTGAGAGGTGGGGAGCAGGGTTGGGGGGTGGGGGAAGGCATGAAGCCAATCTCTGACCTGAGGGTGCTTTCTGTAAAAGTCATTCTCCAGTCTATTCTCAATGTTCTAAGTGAAGGGTACCTTTCCCAAGGCATGGAGACTTATTTTGAGGGGCCAGAATTGGTCCTGTATACTAGGATCAGCTCGGGAAGAGGGAATGGGCTGTGGCTCTTGGTGATCAAGGACACCTTGTCTCCTGCTCAGCTAGGGGGTGTATGGGGGGGGTGGGGAGGGAGTACAATTTGCTGAATAAATAAACAGTGCTGAGGTTTATAAATTGGATAGTACGACTCCCGTCCCAGAAGAGGACAATGTCTTGCAAACATCTTGGCATTTTTGCTGCAGGAGCTACGAGCATTAAGTAGCTTGGGACGACCCTGCTCTAGGGCAGCAGTCTGGGGCCTCATTGTGGTGATCAGGTTCATTTCATTAGCAGTGTCCACGGCAGCAGCTTAATCCTAGGCAGGTTTCTCTCTGCTCCTCATCCCTACTCCCCAATATCCTCTGGGCTTTCCCTGTCAAGGTGGCACCTGCAGAGAGGCAGCAATCCTGTCAAGAAAGGGAGCACTGGACTCGGAGGCAGAAGACCTGACTGTGACCACAGCTCTGCTCTTACAGTCAGGCGCCTTGGGCTACGCCGCTCACACGCCCGAGTCCTCATCTACAGCAAGTGAGTGATGCTTTCCTTATTCAGTCTGACTCACGGGGCTGCTTCAAGAATGAAAAAGAGAAAGTGCTCTGTAAGTTGTCAAGTTTAAAACAAATATACCCTATTTCTGAAATAGTTACGCACGCAGAGCCCAATAAGGCAGGTACCACATGCAGATTTAGGAAAATCTGATACATGAAAATGCAATTCAATCTCAATATGACTCAGGAGGGGATTTACGAAAGGACCCAATTTATCCATTTGGTGCATTTAATCATCTTGGGCCTGAAGAAAGGATTCCTGGGAATGGGAGGCAGAACTGCAAGGACACAGAATCTCACCGAGGATGGCAAGAGGAGGTGCACTTGAATGAAGGTTGGTGGGCTTTCACATTGAATAAAAGGAGAAACTTCCTGCCCATCAGTAAAACAGTCTGATGGCTGACCTGGAAAAGTCTGAGAATCTTATCCTGGAGATCCTAACGGAGATGGATGCTACAGGTAATTCCTCTCACCTGCAAGGGTTAGACTCTCACCTGCCAGGGTTGGACCCAAAGCTACTGGATACCTTTTCCTTAGGGTTCTAAAGCAAGAAAGGCGAGATGCTTGCTGTCTGGCCAGCATGTGGCTCTGCCCAACTGTGGTCAGAAGGGGCTGGGCTGAGAGTGGAATTAGGCATGGAGGGTGGGGAAGTGGTGGGAATCAGAACAGCCTCACTGTAGGTCTAGAAAAGGTATGGAAGTCTAGTCCAATAATTTCTGTGTTGTCCCTAAGTGATGTCACTGGACCTGAGGCAAAAGGCTAGAGCCAGGACAATGAGGGGCGTACCTCTAGTTCCTAGGCCTGAGAATTGGATTATTACCAATTCAGAGAAAGGAACTGTTTACAAAGTCCTTTCCAGATGAGCTCAGTTCACATATCTGGGACAAGCCAAGGGG